AGCAAAAACTATATTAATTAATATAATAAGAGTAAAAGTGGCAATTATGAGGAGGCCCCAAAGTGTGCCCATATGAAATGCATTTAATGCAACTATTTATAAAAGCAGCCAAAATTCTGCAGTTTCCTTAGTCATGAAAACGAAAAGCAGCACTTTTTGTTCATAGATTTGCAGTTTTTTAGAGACAAGTTTAGGGTTTTTCAACCCACATTTTTGAATCTTAATTTGCTTTTTGTATTCTAATGCAAAATATTTTATGATATTTTTTTCTTTTATCAGTAAAAGAACACCTAACTACTTTGATGGAGGACAGTGTTGTTCATATCTCAAGATCGTTTCCTGTGTTTGCCTCATACATTTGGCGTCTACAAGCTTTAATTATAGAATAGTACTGATAATTAGAAATTTGTCACACTATCAACCTTTGTACAAATATATTACACTGACTTCATTATCATTAGCAAAACCCTAAGTATTCATGTTTTGGTCGAGGTCTTTTGCATGAAACAGTCACATAATACTAAATCTGCCATTCTGGATGGCGAAAGAATGTGAACAATGTCAAAAACATAAGGAACATAGCCTGTCAAGCTTGACTTCTAATTTTTTTAATTTTGTCCTCTAGAATGAATGGCCATATACGACCGTTTCATGCCAAAAGCCTATTCTTTATTTCAGCTGCATGCATTCAGATTATAGTGATTTGATGATTTGAAAAAAAAAACATATTTAAGATATTTTCATGTTAGCTGCCTATATATTTACAGTTCTTTTCTCCAATTTGTCTTTTGGTAGAGCCTGCAATAATGAAACAAACATAGAATTATAAAAAACTATAAATTTGCCATTCTAGCTATTATCTCATTTGATATATAGGGGAGCAGAAAATAAAAAAAGGCACTGCATATATGTGCAGCAGCAACATTTTCCAGAACAAAGTATTGTGATAAATGTGGTCCTTGTACTAACATTATTCAAAAAAATAATGTACATGTAGAATTTTATTTATTTTTATTTTTTGCAACGAAAACATTATAATTAAACACAGGGATACAAAAAGGTGAAGACTATATTTACCATAATGCTTTGCATGCTGCTGAAGAAAATGGCTACATTGAAGTACATTGCCTACACTATGATTAAAATATCTTTAAACTTTTGAATAATTGTACACTACCTCAATTGTCTTCAATGGCATGTTGGATTTCTTCCCTCGAAAAACTCCATCCATGTTTGGTCACAGCATTGTACACTTCCATGGTAATGTTTGGAAAGTACTCCAGGAACACAGCATTGTCAAGAATTTCTATTCTGATTGGGCTTGGGCGACTAATATCAGAAACATGGGCAATGGAGTTGCGAATGAACCGTACCAAGTCAACAGCAGAGGTGACATCATAGTTTCTAGGTTTTATGGTATGATACTTTCCCTTCTTTGCTGGTTTGACAATCGGCTTTGTCATTTCAGAGTAGATTCCAGGCATGTGTGTGTATCTAGGGTCATCCCATTTCCCATACTTTACTATTGTGGAGACATTTGATTGTAGATCTGACTCTATAGGAC